CGCAAGGCCCTGAGTTCAATTCCCGGTTCTGCCAAAAAAAAAAAAAAAAATTATTATTAATTAATTAATTAATTAATTTTAGTTTTATACTACCAAGCAGGAAAAAATGCTTTTAAAAAAAATCTATGCCCAGTCGTATCATTCAAACTGTAAGAAATCAAAGAGAAATTTCCAAAAGAAGCCAGAAAGGGAATAAAGAAAACCTACGTAGAGGAGCATGGAGCAAGGTTCACCACTGACTTCTCTTCAGAAAACATGGAAGAAAGAGACTGCAATAAAGTATTTAAACTGTTGAAAATCAGTCTAGAATTCTGTATCCACCAAAATAGTTCTTCAAAAGTTAGAAGACAAAATTGCCTCAGACGAACAAAAATAGAGAAAATTTGTTGCTAGATCTGCTTTGCATAACATTGTTCAATTCTTCAGAAAGAAAAATATAGGCCAGATATTTCAGTTTGCAAAGGAAGAGTCCTCAAGAAGGAATAAATGAAAGTCAAATCATTCTTAAAACTTAAGATACAACTGATAATAAATGGTTTAAGATAATAGCAACTGGGCTGGCGAGATGGCTCAGTGGTCTAAAGCACCTACTTGGAACAAGCTTGGCAAAGCACAGGGACCACGGTTCGATCCCCCAGCACCACATGCCAGCCAGACCCGCCCCCTGGTGGGCTGAGCTGGCCACACACATACACAATAAATAAATGTAATAAATAAAAATAAATAAATATTAAATAAATAAATAAATAAATAAAAATAAATAAAAAGAAGTGGTAAAAAAAAATTTCACTATCTTTGTTAATGCACAATACATTTATATACAAAATGCCCAAATTCAACAAAAACTCCAAAAGTGAACTAATAACCAATTAGAATAAGATTAATATGAGATTGATATATGAAAGTCAATTACTTTCTATATACATCAGAAATGAACACTTAGAATTTGAAATAAAAAATACAATACTACTGTCATGGCCTGTATCCAGATGTCCTCCTCAAAGCCTCAGGTGATCATAGGTGGAGCTTTTTGGAGGTGGCTGGATCTAGAGCATGTGATGCTGGGATTAAGGATGCTGGGATTGATTCACACTGCAATGCTAGGATGAAGGGTGTTTCACCCTGGGTGTGAATGTCCCCTGGATAAGATATAAGGGACAAAGGGCCGCTGTTGTCGCTTGCTCCTGCCCAGTCTCAATTGCCATCTCAGCTTGACTCCTTCCCTGCTTTGCTGCTTCTGTCCACCATGAACTGTGTCTCTTCCCTCTGCCGTGCCACCTTATCTTGGAACTAGGCAAGTAGGAAGTGAACCCTTAGGAACTGCAAGCTAACATAAACCTTTTCCCCTTCATCTTTACGTGTCAGGTATTTTCTCTTGGTAACAAAAAAAGTAACTAACACAACCACTTACATTGGATATTACATGTTGGTGACATTTGCATTAGCACCAAAGAGATTTCAGCATAAATCTTTTAAATATATACAATATTGGATTTACTGTATGAAAACTACAAACCTCAGATGAAATACACTTTCGTATAAATTGAGAGATAAGTAAAGTGCCCGCAAACAGGTGCAGGGGCCTGGGGTTCAATACCAGGGTTTACCATGCCGGCCCCGCCCCCAGGGCAAGCTGAGATGGCAATTGAGACTGAGTGTGGTGGCGTGTGCCTGTAATCCCAGCTCTTAGGAGGCTGTAAACAGTCAGATCATTATGAGTCTGATCTAGTAGCGAGACCCTGAACACCCTATAGACCCTTCCCTAAAATACAAAAAAATAGAAAAAATAAATTGAGAGATACTCTATATTCATTGGAGGAGGGCCAGGGAGATAGCTCAGCAACATAAGCACCTGCCTGGCAAGCACAAGCTCCTGAGTTTGTTCCCCAGTACCAAATAATAAACAAACAAAAATAATAACACCTATATTCATTGAAGGAAAATAAATAGTATTAAGATGTCAGTTCTTTACAACTCAATCTTCGGATTCAGTGGAACCTGAAGATTCTATTAATGTTTTCACACAAGGTAAAATAACACCACCTAGTACTTCTGTCTCTGACCTATAGGCAGTGAGGGATTTGCGGTAATACACTGTTGTCAGGTTGTAGGTGTACCGAGGTTTCGTCTGAATCAGTATCACAATGACAGACATCTTAGGGGCATGGCTTTTTACCAATACTTAAATGACATCATGCTTGGATTTCAGCATAAGTGAACACTAACGCGTAGATTGAAATTTAATTCAGTGACAGTCATTTTGATCACCATAGGTATCAACAAAATGATTCAATAGTTTATATGAAAAGCCCTAAGTCCCAGAATAACCAAGACAATGCTGAAAGAGGAAACTGGAGAACTTCCACCACCTGACCTCAAGATTAACTGTAAAAACTACATTAACAAAGACAGCTTAGCGCTGAAGAACAAACAGATCAAAGGAACAAAGAGCACATAGAGCCATACAAATACAGTCATCCAGTGCCAAAAATCAACCTGCGGGGCCCTGAGGTTCAAGTTTGTTTACAGGAAAAGCTGTTATTAGGACTTTCCATTCAAGAACCATAATCATCATTATATAAAACAGGACTTCCGCATCTAGATAAACATATTTCATAGCTTTTTATGAAGGAATAAAATTTAGTATGATAAAATACTTGTTTTCAGATCTTTTTACAATTCAAACCATCTGTTTTGAGAAAAACAAGTCCTGTGTTACTATATGAGAGAAGACTAATCTTGCATAGTTTGTTTCAGCTGGATTTACTATCAAAAAGTTTTGGTACTTATTTGGTCGACTTAAGCTCCGCTTGCCTTCTAGTTTCTCATCTCAGAAAAGAGAAAATTACAACATGGTACTTATATAAAAATTTTCAGGTCCATGGGGTTTTTTTTGTTTTGTTTTGTTTTTTGGGGGGTAAGCTTTAATTTATAAAGCTTGCTTAAAGTCTAAGACTTGCTTAAAGAGCATTAGACTCAGATATACATATTTTTTCTTTCTTTTTTTTCTTTTGGCAGAACCGGGGATTGAACTCAGGCCCTTACGCTTGCCAGGGAAACGCTTATTCCACTAAGCCATCTCCCAGGCCCCCTACATATTTTTTTCTTAATATAAAAGCTGCTACCATTCTCACTCTTGATATTAGCCAAAAGGCCAAGAGGCAATGAGGCTTTTATTAATGTTTTCACATGAGGTGAAATAACACCACCCAGTACTTCTCAGTCTCTGACCCACAGGCAGTGAGTGATTTCTGGATTTAATACACTATTGTCAGTATTGTAGGTATTGTATTGTAGGTATTGTAACCTCGGTATTGTAGGTGTACTGAGGTTTTGTCTGAATCAGTATCACAATGGCTTTGACATCTTTGGGGCATGGCTTTTTACCAATATTTACATGACATCATGCTTGGATTTCAGATTAAGTGAACACTAAAATGTAGATTGAAACTTAATTCAGTGACAAAGTCATTTTGATCACCTGATACTTGAAATTCACTCATTTCTTAACGCTTATGTTTATCTTTATAATTTATTTCTAAATGCTACAATTTTCTGACATTTTCCAGCACTTCTTTGCAAATAACAAATTTGAGGAGGGACAGATTTTTATTCATAGGAAGAAACAAGTTAGCAATTAACCACCATATTTTCTTCTTACATTTATGTATGGGAAGTGGGGGCGTTGTTTTGTGCTTTTTGGGTACTAGAGTTTGAATCCATATTTGGATTTGGGCCTTTGTACTGAGTTATTTGCAGACAGGATCTTGGTAAATTGCCCAGGCAGGACTTGAACTTGTGATCTTCCTGCTTCAGTTTTCTAGATTGTTGGGATTACAGGTTTGTGCCACCATACCCAGCTCACCTCTCCTAAGAGTGGACAATGTACTTAAAAGTATACCAGTTGTCTTACATGTCTTACACGTTTTTTTGGCACTTAATCTGGCTGTTAATCTGTATATATAGTAACTAACTGTGTAAGTACTTGTAGGATATATAAATGAGTCTCATGCTGGCAAAGAACAGGTAAAGGAAAATAAGAATTGAGATGTGTTACATTCATGTATCAATTCCCCACAATGACTATAATCATTATGTACTATAAATATGTACTAAAAATTTTAGGTTTTTTGGGGGGGTACCAGGAATTTTCAATGTATTTGGTCTCACTACAGATTGAACTCATAGCAATTGTAATATTTTCAGCCTACCAAGCGCTGGAATGGCAGGCGTGTGCCACCACGCTCAGACTCTATAGCCAGCTCGGCATGCCTGAGGGTGGAGCCTGCGCAGCATGTGGTATCCGGGATCAAACCCTGGTCCCAGCACTTGCATAAGCAGGTGCTTAGTCTGCTGAGCTATCTTGCTGGCCTTATTATGCAATACTGGAATATTTTCTGCTTTTCTATCTATGAGACTAAAAGTATATTAAACTGTACTGAAGCTCAAAACCTCTGCGATGGCAGTGTTCAGCTGAGAGACACCAACTAGGTAACTTACAACTTAGAACACATGATGGGGCCATCAGCAGATTCTTCCAGCCTCCAATTACTGTGAATCTAGGGGAGATAGCTCATTGGCATAAGCCTGGCAAGTGCAAGGTCCTGAGTTTGATCCCTGGTACTTCAAAAAGAGTAGTAACAATTACTGTGAGTCTGCATGCAGGACCCACTGCAAGTTTCCATTGGCTGCTTTCAGGGAGAGTATACACATATATTCCAAAAATGAAAGTAAAAAGGATGCCCTTGATGTCTTCAGAACTTTGTCTGCCTGCACTTCAATGGGTGCCACCTCTTGGAAACAGAGCCCCTCTAGCTTCTGTGTGTAGCCATTCAGCCCAGCCCCCAAGGAGGAAGGCCATTCCTGCCAACATATGTCTTCACACCCCGCCTCATAGTAGTCTCTGTGTAGGATAGTGATGACACACAGAAAGCTTGTGACTGCTTCTGGTTACCTTAGAAATCAACCCAAGGTATCCTCAAAACTCACAAGGAGGTAGCTGAATGTGTGAGTGAAGGCCCGAAATGTCAGGGGCTGGAAATCAGAACTTGGCAGGATGGGGAATGGGACATTAAAGCATCAGGGTGCAGCTCACAGGAGAAGCAGCTCAGAGGAAGAGTGAGCAGCAGAGATGCTGCACAGAAAGCCGGCAGCCCACAAGGCGACGGCTGAAGCTAGAGCCACAGAAGATAAACGTGCGAGAAGCGCAATGCAGGTGACCAAAGAGGCTGTGGGGGCAGGGGACAGGGGGCGACTCTCAAGGGAGCCAGGAGCAATGTACGCCCAACACTTACAGCCTCCCACAGTGACAGAATGCTTGGGTCCGAGTACAGGAAACCAGTAAGTATTCTTTTCCTTCCATCTTGGGTATAATCAACATAATGTTCATTGCTGGGAACAAATGCAGCACAGGGATGAAAGGGACGGGACTGGAGTCACTCAGCACACAACTGGCCCCAGACCCACCAACAAACTGCTAACCCCTAGTTTCCATTCTCTTTGCCATGAATAGGGGATAATGAGTACCTATCTCCTAAGGGTGTTTGAAATATTATGTAAAATACTCCACTAAAGCTTATGACACAGTGCCTGCACTACTGTAATCCCCCAAAAAACTTGCTATAGAAGCAATAAGGAACTCTTCAAAAAGAGAACCATGACATCAGATTCATCATGTTAAGAATTTAGCTTTACTTAAAAGACAAAGAGTTGCTGATTTCTTTCAGTTCTATGTTACAAAATCCTCCTCTGTGGTTGCTAAAAGCTAGAGTAAACAGCATTTGTAATCCAGGTTATGAAATATAGAACTATTTGGTTACTAATCAGGTTCCAACATGAGATCTTTTTTTTTTTTTTTAATTTTTTTTTTAACATTTATTTAGTGTGTGTGTGTGTGTGTGTTCGTGTGTGTGGCCGGCTCAGCCCACCAGGGGGCGTGGCTGGCCGGCATGTGGTGCTGGGGGATCGAACCGCAGTCCCTGATGTTTTGCCAAGCTTGTTCCAAGTAGGTGCTTTAGACCACTGAGCCATCTCTCCAGCCCCCCAACATGAGATCTTTCAGATGCCTAAATGTCACTGTGCTCCTTAAGGGACAAATTCTTACTACATTTATCTACATTAAATTTTCAAAAATATTATCTAATTATTACATCTTTATCTAAAATATAAGCCTTTGACAAGAATCATGGAACATGTTATAATAGCTTTTAGAAATATTTGCTAATATCTTTATAACTGAACTTAAAACCTTTGAAAACTTTTCTCATCAAAACTGAGCTCTTTTACTAACAATACATAAAAGCAATGATCTGTAGTATTTGAAGCAGTTCAACCTTCTCTTGCTAGTATTAAAATAACAGTGCTGGGCTGGGGAGATAGCTTGGTGGACTAAGCACCTTCCTGGCAAGGACCCAGGCTCAGTCCCAGGTAGCACGTGCCATGCCAGCCCCAGAACCCGGGGTGCACCACGTTAACCACCAAAACCAGGAATGGGTGGCGCATGGCTGTAATGCCTGTGCTGGGGAGACTGAGATAGGAGAATCACTACAGTATTCTGACCTTACACAGCAAGACCCTGTACCAAATAAATAAAAATTAAATTAAATTAAATAAAGGTGCTTTCCATAGTGGCAACCTCAGAGACAGCAACATAGCTCTAGCACCAGAGTGCATGCCTTCCTTGTTTCAGCAGAGGGCAGGAGACAAATTCGTTGGCAAAGAGAAATGCCTTGCACTGCATGCAGAAAGTGAGTCCCAAGGCAAACTCCTAGCGCAGTTCATTTTGTAATGTGTTTCCTAATGTCTTTCTTGAAATCTTGGCATTGTCTTCCAGATTGGCCTGGGCTAGAAAGACTCAAGACCCTTGGATTGCAGCAGGTCCTTTTTCCCCACTAGAGAAGAAGATTAAGGTGAGAAAGTCCATTTTCCACGAACTTCACAGTCATCATTAGGTCACAGCAAGTTTATCACAGAGATCAAACAGGCCCGAGTGTCTCCTGCCAAAGCACCCCTTCTGTTTAGTTTGGCATTTGAGTCTCAGAGCACCTGTAATGGTGCCTGGGTAGCACGAATGGAATAAACACATTATGCCCTCTTAAGCGCTTAGTCAGGGGCATACAAATATTTACCACAAATTGTGTCATGAAAGAGTAAGACTTTTGTCTGAAAAGCATGTGGAACAGCTAAAGAAATATGTAGAATCTAAACATTACAAATGTGAATACCATAGTGATGCCGACAGGTTAGGAGCACATGAAGGAAGAATATATGGAAACACTCATGGGGGAAGAGAATTCCATTTACGAGCCATTAGTGTAGCTGGGCCAGAGTAAGCAAGCAGTGGCCTGAAAAAGTTGACGAGGTAAGCAGGGACCAGGTTGTGGATGCCAAACTGGAATCTGGGATTTTCTCCTATAAGTAGCAGGACCCTAATGCAAGGTTTTATGTAGAAAAAAAGAACATGCTTAGATTTGCTTAATAAAAAGAACTCTCCTGCCGCATTGATTGCTGGTACACATGGGTGCAGAGGGAGAGAAATGTGCATCCAGAGAGCTAGGGAGGGGCAGCAGGGCTGAAGTGAAACGTGGGTGGGGACAGCATTTTGTCAGAAGCAATGGGATTCAGGTAGAAGCTGGAGGAAGAAACAAGAGATGTTTTTAGTACATGAGGGCTAGGTCCAAAGTTGAGAGGAGGAGGAACAGCATGTGGCCCCGTAGCACTCCTGGCAGTGTCTGACACATGGCAGGCCACCTTATCTCAGGAAACCTAAATGTGGCCATTCTCAGCTTAATTGACTATGTTCTCCACTATATTTTCCTAAGGTATGTTTAACAGAAAGCCCAGGAAGGCAGATGGAGAAAAAGTAGTTAAGAAAGAGAATCAGGACATTCAGTCCTGTGAGCATATTCAGTAAATGGCTAAGAGTCTGAGGGGCCCAAGATAACCCTAGTCATATGCCCTCAGAAGCAGCTCAGAAAAATGAAAAGATACAAAAAGAAGTCAGCTCTTAACTGCTGCTGAGATCTCACTGTGAGGAACAGCGAGAGGACCACCAAATTTTCTACTGGAGAGCATTTAGGACCTAGACAAGGGGAGTCTCAGAGCAGTGGACAGTGGAGGCCAAATGGAAGTGGACTGGGAAAAAGGAAGGAGCAGTTAGAAAGTGGTTATGGGTAACTACATCAGAGTACACTGTGAAGTAGGGAGCAAAAAAATGGAAAGGACACAGTAAAAGATTCTCCCTTTAAGAATTATGGTTTATTATAGAGTTTATATATGTGAGCTTATGAGACTGTCTAGCTAAGCTCCTCCTTTCCCATATGGTATATATACAGTGTGTGCAGGCACTGCCGTGCTGACAGGAGTGACTTAATAGAGGTCTGGTGATGGGGCAAGGAGATTTGTTAACTGTAAAACTGAAATTGCTGAAGCTGAACAAACACAGGTAGACCTGGCGGGAAGAAGGGCAATCTAACAGTAGGAAAGGAGGTGCTCCTGACTGCCTATCTTCTCAAGGACGTCTAAAGCAAACTCCTTAGGAGGGAAACTGGGTAGGGGCAGTAAAGAGGCTGACGTAACCACAGTACTTGGCTAAGAGACCCTAACCGGGGCAGAGTGTGGGAGGACCAGGCAGGCCTAACAGCCCCTTTGAGATCTGTACAGTGTAACTAACATACAGGATATCCAACTTGAAAAGTTCTAATTACTCCCTTTGCTAAGAGTTTAGGTGGCATCCATTCTTCAGAAGTAAGAAAACTATTAGCCAAACAGTTTCAAAAGGAGAATGAAGCGCTTGATATATTTAAGGCCAGGTCTTCTGACTTCTGGCTTGCTAAAGCAGAGGAATATTTTTATCAATATCATCAAGAAATCATGAGGAAAGAAGCACAGAACTACAAGACAATTAAAGTAGAGGAAGAGGAGACAAGATCACAAAGTAAGAAGTCAGAAAATGCTAAAAAATGGGAATATCTAGTGTCGGAGAGGGAACTTAAACATATAGAGAAACACATACACCGAGCTGCACAAGCAAGAGGCCTCAAGGACCGCAACTGTCAACTACCTCAAAGAACTCCACGGGAAATACTATTTGCAAGAACATTACAATTGGATGATGAAAAGAACGGAACGACCCAGAAAACACACAAAACTAAAACTAAAAAGCACAAAGTGGCATGGGCCCAGGAACAGATGGAGAGACATCAAGAGCGAATGATTCGAGGGAGGAAACTTACAGAGCAGAGAAATAATCAAAGAAATGCTTGCAAACTATCTAGCTATGTTCCACCTGTCCTAAAGTCTCAAGTGAAGAAGAAGAAGGAGGTGAAAGAGTCTGAAAGGGTCACAGCATATCCTATCCTCCAGCCTTACCAGAAAGCACTTCTGGAAGTGACTGTCCTGATGGAAAAACCGAAAGAGGTTAAAGACCAAAAGCCACTCCAAAGGGAGTTCTTAAGTGTACCGCCATTCCTGAGAAGTAAACTAGAAAAATACAAAGCTTTAAGTTATTTTATTATTGCATTTCATTTTTCACATATTTTATAGTAATCAGTGAAAAAAAATTGGAGAAAGCAGACAAAAAGGAGAGAAGGCAACTATAGATGCGTATACTTGAAAAAGTATGGTGTTAAAACATCAGGTTGTGATTTCATTTGTGTGAAATTTTCAAATTAGGCAAATTTTTAGATAGGAAGTAGGTTTGTCACTAGTGAGGGCTAACAGGTAAGAAAGTCTGATCAGGAAAGGGGAGTGACAGTTAATGAGTACAGGGGAAGGTGACAAAAATGTTCTAAAATAGATTGTGGTGACAGCTACACAACCCATTGATTTTAAAACACTGAACTGTACTGAGTCAGTGAATTGTATAGTATGTGAATTATATCTCAATTAACCTGTTTTAACAAAAAGAAGTGCTAGAGTTTAGAGAAAAGGATATGATTCAGAAAGGTAGGCAAGGGGCCTGATTCTAAAGGCTCTGAATTTCACCGAGATGTCCAGCTTTTTAAAATATTGAAGGCAGTCAGCAACCAGTGAGGGGCTGCCAAGTGGTCTGGCAGAGATCTAAAGGACAGACAGGAAGCAAGGACTCAGGAGACACCAGCTGGGTGTCTCAGACAGTGACCTGGGCAAGACGGAGAAACTGGAGAGACCAGGAGGAAATTAGTGACTGATTAACACATGGAGTGGCAGCGGTTGCAAGGGAAATCTTAAAAAGTTTCTGTCCAAGGAAATAACTTGCTAAAATTTTCAATACAGAAATTAAAAGACGGGTGGGCGGCAGTTTTATACATGTTTAAAATAGCCTATATGCCATCCAACAAAGTTGGTTACATATAACTAGTACTTTCAATTAGTTTAGGTATCAAAGTTTCGAGACTATTTAGGATATAAATGTGTATAAGAGACTAAGACAGTGAACAAAAATCAAAGAAAGAGCAGATATTTGTTTTTCTTGTTTTTTTGGGGACAGGGTCTCACCATGCAGTTCAGGATGGCCTTGAATTCACTATACAGCCCACGCTAGCCTCAGCCTCCCAAGCGTTGGGATTCCATGCATGCACCACCATACCCAGCAAAAGCAGACATTTTACATGTCTGATACTCAAAATTTACTCATTGGACTCTGTTTGGGAAGGAATTGGTAGAAGTGGTATAGGGCTTACTCAGTAGACAGAAAGGAGGTGCCACCTTGCGATGCCTTGAGGATGGACAGGAGACCTCAAGAGAGCCTTGAGAGTGGGCAGGATAACAGCTTGATCAGGGTCACACTTTGGTGTTGTTTTGCTTTATTTTAGTGGTGTGGTAGAACCAAGGGCATTCATTTTCTTTTTTGTTGCTGTTTGCTTTTTGAATTTTTCTTGAGAGGAGGTCTTGCTAAGTCTCGAAGTTGCCCCGGCTGAGCCCTAACCTTCAATTCCCCACTTCCGCCTCCCAGAGCGCTGGAGTCACACACATGTACCACCACATTTCACTACAATTAACTGTTTTTGAAGATGGGAGGTGAGCGTAGTTGAAAGGAAAACACCAGACTTGGCTAAAGAGGTCTCCCAGGAGCTAGAATCCAGGGCCTTTCACAGAGAAGAAGACACTGCTCCCCACATCCCACAGAGGAGTGAGAAAGGATGGAAGCCAAAAGTTAAGGAAGAAGAGAAAGAGCCCCAGAAAACATCTAGGGCAGACCTGAAAGGCCAACAGAGATGAGATGCACACAGCAGCATGCAGGACGGGTCCAAGCCAGTGCCGCTGGCATGGCATGCCAGAGGACCTGACAGCTTCCTGTCTGCAAGGGACAGGCTGAGCCACAGGAAATTACTGATATTTGACCAATTTTAGCTCTCAAAAACAACTTCAGGCCTGGGGAGAAAGTTCAGCAGTCTAAGCGCCTGTCTGGCAAGCACAAGGACCCAGGTTCAACCCCTGGTACTGCATGCTGTGCTGGCCACAGAAACCAGGCATGGTGGTGCACTCCTGTAATCCCAGGGCTGGGGAGGCTGGGACAGGAGGATCACTATGAGTCTGAGGTGTGTAGAAAGACCCTGTACCAAATCAATCAATCAATCAATAAAAAACTAAAAAAACCCAACTTCAGATGGTATATTCTATCTGTTGACCTGGCCAACTAACTTTACAACTAAAGACACATAAAAAGAACTATAATGATCCACAGGGAATTAACTACCTAAATAAAACTTCTCAATGCAACAGCTTTGGAAAAAGGAGATATTCTCTATAAAAAGAACGTAAGGGCTGGGGAGATACCTCAGTAGAATAAGTGCTTTCCTGGCAAGCACAAGGTCCTAAATTCAATCTCTGGTACCAAAAAAAAAGAAAGAAAGAAAGAGAAAGAAAGAAAGAAAGAAAGAGAAAAAGAAAAAGTAAAATAAGACTACAATTACTTATAAATATGATAGTGAATTTCCTTTAATCAAAGACAACCATCACAAATTTATTAACTATCAAAAGCTACATTTTACTAAAAACAACCAGGCTTCAAAATGTGCAATCGTACAATATATACAACACATGCGCTTTCCCTTTCGGGTTTCACTATCCATTTGCGTCCTAAAAAGAGAAAAAGAGCTAGTTAGCAGTTCATAAATGATAAATCAAAAGGTCATATAGTATACATTTTTTAAAAAAATCTACCTCTCCTCAGTGAGGACATGTTATACTTTGTCTATTTGCTCTCAAAATATTGACAGAAACAAACATAGTAAGAGTTTATATTAATTTCTAAAATAAAAGCTCATTTAAATTCTGAAAATCACAGAAAATGTGAGCTAGAAGAAGCAGTAGTTATCTAGCTGGAAGTATCCCCTGGTATGGACGGATTTATAAGGAGCAGGAAGCTAAAGGAACTAGGTACCCACGTCTCCTCATCCCCACCCACGGCTGTCTGCGGTACACAAAACCTATTTCCAAAAAGTCTTTTTAGAATTGATGCCCTTCGTAAAAAGAGAGCTATTTCATAGTATAATTCAGGTCTCACAATGTCCATTCACCAGCACAATCCTCATTCTTTCTTCATCCCCCTTTGCAGCTCTGTATGTACAAATCTCATGGGGCAGGAAACACCACTGAGGGAGCGCCACATGGCACCGATGCAGTTCAGCCGTATGTCAGAGGGGGGCAAACTGCAAGCTGGACAGCTGCAAATCTTCCCACCACAGCACCACTGCAATGCTGGCAGCAGGGACCATGCAGTCCTCAGGCCCCTCCCGTCCGCCTTTCAGCAGCAACACAGTTCTACCAGTGGGACACTAGAGGGAGGCAAACCCCTATTTTGCTGGGTGGTCTGTCCTGTCAGACTGCACTAATAAAGGGTGCAACTGCCCCCTGGAAAATGTTACCTTTAGCTGGCATCAGCACTTTGCCTCTGCTTGTTCTGAGCTGGAGGAATCAAAGGCTCAGAAATCTCAAAGGTCTTCACAATCTCCTGGCAGGGAAGAAAGAACAACGTTTGGGTGTCAGGCTTCATCCAGCGAATGCAGTCAGGACTACTCAGGGCCAACATGAAGCTTTACCTCCCAGTCACGGTAACTCAAAGCTAGAACTGCTTGATTCCGAACTTGGGTGCTGTGGTCAATTCCCTCCGTTCCCTCATGAGCAGGCTCTATTTGAAAGACAAAGTTTTCAAAGGTTATCAAATCAAAATATGCAGTCTGAGTGTAGTGACGGATGAATAGCAGGAGTAAGAGCTATACTGAGAAGGTAAGTATTATATACTTTCCTGCACAAGCTGCTGTAGTGTGATGCAGTGGCAATAACCCCATCGGTGTCCATTTTTAAAAACATTCAAATATATATGTATATTTGAGAAAACCTCCATATATCTACGTACCACCCAAAGGAGCCCAGCCAGCCTCACTGGCTCCATGTGAATCGACAACATCTGAAGCAGTAAGTTAAGAACAAGGAGAGTGGGCTGGAGAGATGGCTCAGTGGTCTAAAGCACCTACTTAGAACAAGCTTAACAAAAGCATCAGGGACCGCGGTTCAATCCCCCAGCACCACATGCCAGCCAGCCCTGCCCCCTGGTGGGCTGAGCTGGTCTCTCTCTC